GTGCACACTTTTTGTTTTCTGGTCATTTGGGTATTTCTTTTATAATTTTGTATAAATTGAACATTTCTCTTTATTCAATGTAAAAATACAAGAGTGGCTACTCAGCAGTTATTCCTCTGCCTGATTAATTATTGCTGCTCAACGTATTGGCTCCTAACGAATTTGGTGTCTTCTGATTCTGACCGTGGTCTATCCTTAAAATTGGTTACACCGTGCTGGCTTCTACAGTCATTGGTGTAAAGAATGTAAAGCAAGGGGACAAGACACAGCCCTGAAGAGAGCCAGTGGAAGAGGAGCGCTGTTTGGACAGAAAGCCATTTACTCTCACCCTTTGAGACTTACATTGTAAATTTCTACAATCCAGCCCACCAAGTTTATATAAAGATTAAAATCAAAAATCAGTTTCTTTGCTAAAACATATGGCTGAATGTTATTGAATGCTAATGAGAAATCTAAAAATAAGTCTGGCATGTGTGACAGGACCTTCTAGGTATTTGTGCACAAAGTTAAGTAAAGTGACAGTGTTTCCTCTAGGATTTTTTTTAGCAGTGGCGGCAGGCCCGTCCGAAACAGAATTGACACTTCGCTGCGACACAAACAATATATTTACCGTTTTAATGTTTCCAGATGTTTGATAAGTAAGTGATTGAACGTTGTCCAATTAAAACGGACCCACCGCAGTGACGTTTTTGGTGGAGCTGTTAGTTTAATAGTCGACTTGGAAGAAAGCGAACATTTTGACAATAAGCTACATCAACACAACAGTATGTGGAGTTAAACTGGACAGCCCCAATAACCTCTGAATAGTTCTACTTGTTGTTACATTGCAATGTGAGCAGCAGCCAACGGGGGTACATTATGACGGCAGGATCATTTAAAAGGCAACCGTGACTACATTGTGTGTCTGCCCCATTTCTGATACCGTGGCGGCAGAAATTTAACAGCGGCGGGCCGCTGCTCCAAAATCAACATAGAGGAAACACTGAGTGATCAAGGCATCGATTAGAATCCTTCGAATAGAGTTCATTTTACAGTGGATTAAGTCTACAGACAGACAGGTAACAAATTAAAGTAAATATATGGGGCCATTATTGTAGGAAGACTATTTAAAAATGTGAGTGGAGAGTTGTGTAGCTGTATCTTAATCCGTGTCTGTGTAATCAGATTTTTAAATGTGTAAAAGGATCTCTAAATATGTATTGAGATTTGTAATGTGTAGACAAATCTGTAAATGCAGACGTAGCCGTTAATGGCTGAAAGGAGTCATCGGTTACAACAAGTCATCAGAGGCCCGGCCCCCAGAAACACTATAATTTTTCTTCTATTGTTTCTCCAACCTAATTCTTGTATAATTTGTGGTCGGATAAACAGTAAATTGTTATTCATCGTGAATATCAGATATTGTACAATCTCTGTACTATGTGCACATATGATTTACTGTTCTGTGCTATTGTGCTTTGACACATTGGCGAGGTATGGAGGTGGGATGTCACTAGGGATGGAAATTGATAATTAGGGCCCGAGCACTGACCGTGCAAAGGCCCTATTGTAATTAGGGACCGAGCCAGCGACTGCTGGAGGTCCCTATTGTATTTGCTATGTTACTTATTATTCTTCTTAGCTATTATTATTAGGGCCCGAGCACAAATCGTGCGAAGGCCCTATTGTATCTGTAAAGGCTATTAATAGGGACCGAGCCAGCGACCGCTGGAGGTCCCTATTGTATTTGCTATGTTTCTTATTCTTCTTACCTATTATTTTTAGCGCCTTTGACTGCGTTTTTGCCCCCCTGAACATATATGAAAACTCAATTTTATTTGGCAAAGTGGGCCACTAGCTGGTGCTGCTATCATAAGAAGTGCGTTTAGGCTAATAACTTCTGTATAGTTTGTCGCATATTCAACAACCTTATATCCACGCATTCGGTGAATGGAGCTGAATCTCTCCATATAGGCCACGTCCACTTCCGCTTATAATTTTGTTCCGTTATCACCTGGGGACCGTCCTGGCAAAAAGTAATTTGAAGAATTTTGGTATTTCAAAAAATAAGCACGTTACAACCAAAATTTTTAAGAGTGCGACTAATAATTTTTCTAGGTCGCACTGGTGCACCTGACGCTGCCCAGGTGAAAACATAACAGTTTATTTCGCAAGCGCACCATCTCTCTGTGTTCTCCTGTGACCAAACTCACACACTCATGGTAGTGTCCATCCCGTCAAGACACGGATTCCTCGGTCCCTGGTGAGATGCCAAGCCCCGGTCCTTCAGCGACAGCATCAGACTCGGAACCAGAGGAGGAGACAAACGAGTCTTGGAAAGAGCCCGGCTCCGAGACCCAAATTAAAAAGGCCAAAATATAAATAAACAATTTCCCTGGCTGAGGTACAACAAAGGACGTAACACAATGCACTGCGTGTACTGTCAGGAGTGTGGTCAGAATAGGGGCGGAAATAGTGCATTCGTGAGCGGGTCAACAACTTTCGTATCGAAACTTTAAAAAAACATAACATGTCTAAAAAACACACGATATGCCGTGACAAGTGTGTAGAGAAAGTGGCCCCTCTCCCAGCTACATTTCAGCGGCAGGTAGGAGTAATCATTATTATTATCATTAATAATTATTTTACTTGAAATGTTTGAGTTTGAAATGTTCAATTTCAGTTCAGTGAAGCAATTTAAGCACGAGCACTTTTATCTGGAAATGTTTTATTTTGCTTAGTGCTTTAGTTTGAAATGTTCAATTTCAGCTCAGTGAAGCACTTTAAACACTTTATTTTTCTTTTTATATATAATTGTGCTTCAAATAAAGACAAGCATTTCTCTACACCTTATTCTTGTTTAAAAATCATTCACATTATATTAAAGTTATGGAGAGCAATAAAAAGGTGACCATATGGTGTTAAAGGCAACGCAGGGAAATATTTGGGTGCACCTACATTTTGTGCTGGTGCACCTAAAAAAAAAAAAAAAGTGCAACCAATGCAAAAAGTTAGTCTGGAGCCCTGCGTTATAAAATTTGCACTTCCTGTAAATTTTTGGTCAAAAAAGTAAGTGGACCATTTCTCCACATTGGCATGTCCGGTTGACACCAAGCTTGGGTCCATAGTTCTCCATGTCTTCCTTAGACAACGTGCACAATTTCAGGCCATCGCCTGAAAACCCCCCACTCCATCAATGACCTGCGCCTGGCAAATGAGCTGAATGAGTTCTACTGCCGCTTCGACAGACAAAGGAGCAGTCCTGACACCGTCCCCCGTGACACCCCTCAACAGCCCCACCTCACCAGTCCCTCCCCCCAGCTCAGCAGGAGCGGGGGTCACTCCACAACTTCACACCTCTGTGAATCCCTCCTCCTCCACCACAGTTACGACTCTCTGCCTCCAGATTCTGTCTCTCCATCCAGCCTGAAGCACTGTTCTGAACAGCTGTCTCCGGTGTTCACGGACATCTTCAACACTCCAATCTCAATGAAACTTCACACGTTTGATAAGGGTCCCGCCTTGAACATGTCTACATGACAATATTCAGATATAGTGAGAGCGCCACCTACTGGCAACAGGAAGTAAGTGCTGCAATAATGATCTGATTTCCGCAAAATTTTCATGTTGTGGTCGGCACGTGTTACGACGGCATGTGACGCGGCCGCAGCACACCCCGAGTTGCGTGGAGTGCGAGGGCCCGTTCATCGCTGCTTGCAGCTTTATTTATTATTATTGATTCTCTGTGAAAAAAATACACATATATAGAGTAGAATAGAGACTCTTCATTACACAGATATTTATCATATTGTAGAAAGATGTTTCCACCCTTACTTGAAATGATAATTTTACAGGCATTACGACTAGCACTGTTGTCATCTTTCTTCATAAAATTAAGCCATGCTTTAGACCATTTCTTCCTCTCCACCATGACTTGTTGCAAGTTTTTCAGCAGTAGACACAAGTTTGACATCACTGTATTGCAATATGTAACAGTACGAAAGACATGCCAGCATTGATAAAAGGCATTGATAAGCTTAGAGGCATACGATTCCGATGAATCCGGACATTTGGAATCATTTCTCAACTAGAACTTGTTTCCCATCCCTACCTAGTCATTTTGAAAGGGCAATAGCTAATGGGGAAACTCTACTGACCTCAGTCAGGAACAGACTGTTTATGTTGTGTTGTTTGCGGCCTGGCCAAACAGAGAGAGAGGACAAAGACGAGATAGATGGAGTGGTCATTCCAGCAAAAAAAAAAAGAAGCTGATAAAGGCTAGTATCGTATTGACCCGAATATAAGACGACCCTGAATATAAAACGACCCCTCTTTTTCAAGACCCATATTTGGAAAAATACTTTTTATTTGGACAAAATTTCATTTGCATAAAAAAAAAAAATTCATTGTTTTCCTTGTACATTTCAACATCTTTGGAGTTTATCATGCGGGGGAAAAAAAACATAAAATCTTCTATAGCTCCGCAAATAGGCAAAGCGCAGAACGCACTTCACGGTTCTATGCCATATAACAGTGCAATTAAACGAGCATAAGGCTACTGGCTTAACTTGTGCAATAAACGGCGCACATTTTCTTGACAGTGTCAGAACAGTCTGCAAAATGTGAGAACAATAACATCCAAAAACACCACGAACAGTTTTTTTTTTCTTTCTTTCATTAAGCTGCATCCTCCGCATCACTGGGTTCCTCCTCCTCACTCGCACTTTCGTTGTTGCTAGCTTATGCAAATGAAGGCTAACACACCCACTCCAGCCGACTTGTTTACTGTACATGCTTGTTTACAGGATCACGTTAGGGTCACACTGCACTAAACGCTGACGGAGAGAAAAGCGCTCATATGGCGCTACCTATTGTTTTACATGGGTTACTCCTTAGACCCCGAATATAAGACGAGGCGTCATTTTCAGGCATTTCTCAAGGGAAAAAATATCGTCTTATATTCGGATCAATACGGTATTAAGCCCTTACACCAGAGTCACCGTTTGTGTTTCTCTGTCTAGGATGAAGACTTGGAGACTGACCTCAACCAACTTCGTATTCGTCCTGACCCAGACAGACCCAAAGATCTGCTGCCACAGTACAGCCGCCTCTGCCCTGAACTCTTGCATGACTTCCAGGTAAGCACAAAGGTTTGCACATAAGTAACAACAAGTCAGAGGTCACGGTTTCTCTTCTTTTCTCTTATTCAGTTTTTATGAACCAATTCTATACAAGAATTACATATAACAAAATCAATTGTGAGACCTATTGTCTTCATACAGTACTTGACAAAAAGTCAACAAATTACTAAATAAGCTATGTGTTTAAATCAGTTACAAAAGATGACAAAAGATTTTTCACCAGTGATTTGTTTTATTCTAGGTCAAATACTCAGTCAGTATTTCACAGTATACTGTGTCAAGATACAGCTAATGTTGCATACACATGAAATATAAAATGTCCCTAAAATATGCCCTCAGGCCATATATTGAAATATGTGGCGAGAATATGCCCAAATCTGTGGTGGAATATAATATAATAAAACACCATGTAATATTTTGACTTATATCAAAAGTATGATTTGTTGGTAATGATGTGCACTGTGTCCAGGACAATACTAAGCAGTCCTTCGAGGATTTCTGTTATGTTAAACAGAGGAACCAACAAGCAGAACACAAACTTGGTTGGTTATGATTACCAAAGACAGGCTTTATTGAGAACCAGCTGATGAAACGGTGATATGAAGCTCCTATGACAGCGATCCAGGCAGAGTGGAGCTGAAGGTGGAGGCAGTGTGGCTGATAGGAAGGAGCGAGCAGGTAGCTGAAGTGAAAGTGATGATCCTGAGGCACGGGAAAAAACAAGGTTAAGTTTGTCAGCACGAAGGGGAAATACGTATCTTAAATTTCTCTAACTGGCCAAGAAAGTTACTACCAGACATGTAGAGCCCACGATCTAGCGGAGAGTGGATGGAGAATCAGGGTTTATATACTGCAGGACTGATGAGTTTATGGCTGGCAGGTTTGAGCAGTCAGACAGGTGAGCAGGTAATCAGGGAGATAGACCAGGGAGGAGAAAACTAGAAACCACTGACCATAACAATTTCATAAGCTTTTTTATGGGATTGTTGCTGCCTGAAACAGCTGATTTCACAGCCGCTTTTCTAAAAATGTTTGACACGTTGCAACATTTTGCAATGAAATTTTGGCAGAAACTGAATTGCAAAAAAAAGAAAATAAATACAAATAAAAATGGTATAATTAATTCAAAATCAGAGGAAACAGTGAGAATAAAATCACTAGTAGTTTGGCGACGTAATGCTCAACTTTTCTTTGGGGGACTACTGTCATTGGTGAAACTCACAGGAGACTACAATAATTGATCAAATTTGCCGAAAAGTTGCGATGATCAGACAGAATTAAAAGGTTGCACAGAATTCAAGGGGATTGGTTGAATTTGCATGAACTGTTGTGATTACAACATCACAACTACTAACTGAAGAAATCAGTATTTGTGTTATGGCAAAATACATATTCATGTACGTGTATATCTGACTATGACCTCATTAAAAACTAAATTAAAATGTAACCTTTATTTATTTAGGGAGGTTTCACTGAAAGCAATGCTCTCTTTTTTTAGGAACGTCCTCATCACATTCACACCTGAAGCTGTCCAGTGCAACCACAATCTGATTTGCTGGCCACTGAGCAGCTCCAATGGAGTGGTTGTGGTTAAGGGCCTTTCTCAAGGGCATCCCAGATTTATCATGCCGATGTCAGGGGGGTCGAACTGACATACTCCTAGTCACAAGCTTGATTTCTAATCTATAGGGCACCACTGACCATGACATATGTGAGGTCATCAACATCAATACAAAATGAGTCCTTAGAGGCAAGAGATACATGCCAGGTTGGAATACAAATATTTAAACATGACATAGTTTATAGGAATTGTCGTACTCAAAGTTGAGAACACACTATATTCATACTAACTCAGGAACCATCCAGGAGATACTTGTACCAGATTGTCACTGTAAAACAGATGATGTGGTCAGGGTTTTAGATTGGTGCTTATTAATGAGAAAATTAAAAGAATTCCTTTTAAACTAAGTCATGTAATCATTCAAATAGAGTATAATTTTACTGTGGATTAAGTCTACATACAGATGGGTGACAAATTAAAGGAAAAACCTGAATAAATTAATACATTAAATTAAACATAACAAATGCAGATGCCACACAGGTCCACTCCATAGTTTAATTAACAAAATGAACATCCACTCATGCACTGTGTAATGTATAAAAATGCTGAGCAGGCCATGTTGATTCTGATTTTGTCAGAGGAATACTGTAGTGGGGTTGCAGTGCTTAAATGCCTCATTTTTTCTGAGGCACACAGGTACCTTTTACTGTTAGGGATATTCTCACTTTAATTTGCGTCATTGCCTCTTAAAATAATAATAATAATAATAATAATAATAATAGTAATAATAATAATAGTAATGTTGTTGTTGTTATTATTATTATTATTAGTAGTAGTAGTAGTAGTAGTAGTAAAATACAAATCAGTGTAACAAAGGCAGAATGTCAAGACTGGTTGCTCTGTTTGAAATATGCAGATTACCATCCTGACTTACATGGCTATTACTACTGGAGGACATGACTGATTATATAGAGAGACAGGAAATGACAATGTGTGTGTGTGTGTGTGTGTGTGTGTGTGTGTGTGTGTGTTCTAATTTCAAACATGGTCATGAACGTACATGGCTATTAGGAGAGGTAGACATGACTAATTATAGACAAAGCGGATAGCTCTTGTCCTCTGGAGATGAAAGTTCTGTTTGAACCAAGGCGGCTGTGGCTCAGGAGGTACAGTGGATCGTCCACTAATAAGAAGGTTGGCCGTCCGATCCTCTGCTCCTCCTGCTGAATGCTGAAGCAAGATACTAACCCCAAATGGCTACGATTCCGTGCATCGGTGGATGAATGTGTATGAATATGTATGAATGTTCGTTTCTGTTTGTGACAGGTCATCCATCACCGTGTGAATGTGACATGTAGTGTAAAAGCACTTTGAGTGGTTGGAAAAAACTGTATTTTGATCAAATACAGAAATCAGAAATAGACAATGCAGTAACAAAATCTTTCCTCACTGAGAATGACTTGTAGATAGATAGATAGATAGATAGATAGATAGATAGATAGACTTTATTAATCCCTGAAGGGAAATTGGGTCGTCATAGCAGCCAGGTACATTAAAATGCAATAAAATACAATAGAATGAAATACAACAATAGAATAAAATACTTAGATAAAAAAAGATAAATAGGTAGGTAAGGTACAAAGAGTTGTAGTTGCAAGATGGTGGTAATAGTACTGATGACATGATGGTAGTGTTATTGTTAATAACAGTATATAATGATAATATTAATAATATTTATAATAATATAATAATAATAATATGTATATATAATATTATGACTGAACAGATATACATGTATACACATAGATATTATACATTAATATTGATATAATGTAAACGTGTAATATATTCAGCCTGTGCAAGGTGTGCATACATACATATTGTAATATATATACACTATAGTGTATATATATATATATATATATATATATATATACACACACAAGATATGATATGGTATAATAGATACTTGACTATACAAGAAGATATACATACAATGGATAATATCTTATATATATAGCGTGCTGCGGCTGCGTCGCGTGCCGTTGCAACATGTGCGGACCACAACACGTGCGGACCACAACACGAAAATGTCACGTAAATCAGGTCAAAATCGCCACGCAGCGCTTTTACCTCCTGTTGCCAGAAGGTGGCGCTATCACCATGTCTGAATGTTGTCATGTAGTCATGTTCAAGGCGAGAGTGTTATCAAACACGTGAAGTTTCATTGAGATTGGACCACGTACGCTGAAGTTATGAGGACGTGTTCAGGTCAAAACTGTTTCAGAATATTTTAAGTTTATTGGAGATTGGACACTGCACACTGAAGTTATGAGCACTATTTTATGGCGAATCTGCTGAAATGGACAAGTTGTCACTGGCACGCGGTTTAATGTACAGTCACAGCTCAACTTTTCAATCAGTTTGTATGACGACAGAATTCAAAGTGGCCAACTTTGACCTCACGCCACAGACACGCCGTTGAACGTACAGTCTCAAATAGCACAACTTTTAATCAGCACCTTTTTTTGACTGTACTGAACAATTTTGAAGTAGATCCGATAAATTCCCTAGGAGGAGTTCGTTCAAATACAATGCGAAAAAATCACCGAAAATGCGCACGGAATTCACTATGGCCAACTTTGAGGGCACGCCACGGACACGCCCTTCAACGTACATGCACAAATAGCACAACTTTTAATCAGAACCATTTTTTGACTGTACTCACAAATTTTTAAGCAGATCCGATAAATTCCATAGGAGGAGTTCGTTCAAATACAACGCGAAAAGTTCGCCGAAAGTGAAAATCAAAATGGCCGACTTCCTATGGGGTTTCGGGTATGGGTCCAAGAGGCTTTTTTGTACATCCCAGCATGTAACACGTGCCTACCGAGTTTCGTACATATCGGTGAAACGTGGCGCCGGGGCTGCTGTTTTTTTATCCTGTAGGGGGCGCTACACACACGACGAACACGATTTTTGGTATGTGAGCTTCAGGCACCACTCTACACGTGCCCTGTGAATTTCATATTTATAACTATTACGGTCTCCGCACAGTGATTTTTCATGCCAAAAGAGTGCCACCTAGTGGCGTATTTTTTTTGTCCTTTTTAAGTGAGCCTCAGGGAGCCATGGGGAAGCATCGTACCAAGTTTCATCTTAATCACACATACCGTTGTAGAGATATAAACTTCTACATTTTAAAGAGCGCCACCTAGTGGCAATGGCCTGAAATTGTGCACGATGCTTAAGGAAGACATGTGGAACTATGGACCCAAGTTTGGTGTCAATCAGACATACCAATGTGGAGAAATGGTCCACTTCCTTTTTTGACGAAAAATCTACAGGAAGTTGAAATTTTATAGCGTTCTTATTTTTTGAAATTTCAAAAATGTTCAAATTACTCTTTTTGCCAGGGCGGTCCCCAGGTGCTACG